CTCGATCCCAGGACCCTGGGATCATGACCTGAGCCACAGGCAGACGCTTAACGACTGAGCCACCCAGGCGCCCGCTCAGAAAGTACTTTCAAGCAGGGAGAACTTTTGCAGGACTTTTAGGGACTGCCAGTGCCAGAGGAACATTTACCAGAGGGAAAATTTTTTTTTAAGTTTTACTTATTTGACAGAGAGAGCACAAGCAGGGGGAGCGGCAGAGGGAGAGGCAGAAGCAGGGAGCCCGATGTGGGACTCTATCCTAGGACCCCAGAATCATGACCTGAGCCAAAGGCAGGCGCTTAATGGACTGAGCCACCCAGACGCCTCCAGGGGGAAAATTTTTGCCATCAATCGATTTCAAGGCATCCATGAATTTTCTGAATATTTATGCAAACATGTGCATTTTGTGGGGAAGAGCTCGGTGGCTTTCTTAGGTTTATTCTCTCAGTGGGATATGTGATATAAGTGGATCACCAACTCAGAAAAATCTGTTTATGACCACATTTCTGCCACCCAAATACCAATAGGATCTTCTCCTGCCCTTTTTAGAGACAGAAATACTAAAGCAAGCAGAGAGAGTCTGCAGATGGACTCCTCTGTCACTCACCATCAGGGCTACCCAGTCGTGTGAACATGCCTGTGCTCAGTGTGGGCTGACCTTGACCTCCATCTTCTCTCATCACAATGGGGCTCAGGAGATCCCAGGAGCCCAGGGAGTCATGATGGTGCTAGAGGGCCTGGGTTCACATTCCAGCTCTGCCCTTCCCAACTGTCTGATCTTAATCTTGTGTGTCAGAAGATAAAGCCTCCTACATAGGGATGATGCCAAGGATGCGGCGAAATACTGTGTGTGAACAAAGCCTGACTGATGCCAGCCGGCTATGAGAGTTCAGAGTACAGGCACACCTTGTTTCATTGCACTTCACTTTACTGCACTTCACAGAGCATTTTCTACAAACTGATGGTCTGTGGCAACCCTGTGTCAAGCAAGTCTACTCGCACCATTTTCCCAACAGCATTTGCTCACTTCGTGTCTGTGTCAGTAAAGTATTTTTAAATTAAGATAAGTATGTTGGTTTTTTTTTTTTAGACATAATGCTACTGTACACCTAAAAGACTGGAGTATTAGTGTAAACATAACATATGCACTGGAAAACCAAAAAACTCATTTGACTCTGTTTATTTTGATATTTGCTTTATTGCAGTGGTCTGGAACCAAACCTGTAGGATCTCCGAGGTATGCCTGTATAACCCAGTTGCATAGTAACAGCCTTGCAATGCCTTCTGAGCACTCTAAGGTAACCTCCAGGAAGGAAAGAGTGCTAGGCATCACTGTGAGGCTGATGGCCCTTCTTGAGGGCCACGCTCCTTGCTAAGACTCCTCTGGAGTAAAAGCTATCCTTCAGCACTGTCTAGGACTCTCAAACAGAAGAATGACCTTTACTCACCTGGACATTATCATCAAACAAATCTTCTGGTACTTGGGACACAGCTTAGACCTAATTTCACTCTCCAAGCCCTGTCTGAAAAGTCCAATGCCAGGGACAGATTGAGCAAGTCCTGGTGACAGACTCAGCAATGCCTGATAAAAATGGTGTACCCTCAGCTGATATGGAGGATTTCCTTGGAGCCTCAATGGCATTAAAGAAGGCCAGCCCTGGAGCCTGAGCTGCAGATATAATTTGCGTGCCCAGGTGGAACCTCACTGTGGCTTTGCTGAAGCCTCTGAGGCAGATGTTGCCGGTCTCTTCTGGTGGCTCTGAGGGCCTATTTCCCAGGGAACTGTACCTGCTTTGTAGGTGGCACATCTATGTATCCTTAGTTCCCTGTTTCCAGTCCAGACAGAAATGAGGCAACATTTCCAGGTAAGGTCCCCATGGGCTTACCTATGACTACTTCCAAATTAGATACATTTAAAGGAATAGATTGAAACCTCGAAAGAGTAGACAAGTCAATAATTCCTTCCTTCATTAACTTAATCTAGTTTGGATGAGGCACATTCAAAATGCCTCAAAGGAAGTTGAGAAAAGTCTCAACAGGGCAAAGTACAGTGAGGAAAACAACCATTTTTATTCAAAAACAGTCCCTAAACCAGCGCCATCCAGTAGAAATATAATGTAAGCCACATTTTAGAAACAAGTTTAATTAATTTTAACATATTTAACCCAGTGCAGCCAAAACACTACTATTTCAACTTGTAACCAATATTTTAAAAATTAATAAGATACTATACATTCTGTGTTTTCAGACTAAGTTTCTAAAATTCTGCATTTCCCATTCATAGCACATCTCAGTTAGGCCTGGCCACGTGTCAAGTGCTCAAAGCCACAGGTGACCAGTGGCTGCCGTACTGGACAGCACAGGTCTAGACTAAAGGGATGAGGAATGAAGGGGGAATGGGCAAGCGGAGGGAAGGGAGGTGCGAAGCCCCTGCCAGGTGGCCCCCTGAGGAACAGGGCCGCAGGAGGCCCATGGCTACCCACCTTCCTCTGGAAGACGCCCAGCCAGCAGTGCCGTGAAGCGCAGTGTCTCATGCACAGTCAGCTTGCTCAGCAGTGTGTCGCTCTGCGGGAGAGGGAGGCGGGAGGCATCAGTGTGACCAGGCTGAGACCAGGCCGTGGGCGGCTGGGGCAGGGGCCCGGGAAGTGCCCACCTGCTGGACATAGGAGAAGCAGTCCTGGAACTGCTCCCTGCGCAGTGGCCGGCCGTTCACAACCACCTCCCCGAGGAAGGTCCCCGTGCGCCGCAGCCTCCCGGACATGGCATCCAGCAGCGTGGTTTTCCCCAAGCCTGTGAGACAACAAAACAAGGCCCGAGAGGACTCCTTCCATGAGGCATTGCTGGGCTGTCCCCAGACCCTCGGTGTACCCTTGGTCTAGCACCGACTTGCTCTCTCCATAGCGCCCTGGGTCAGACTCTCACGGTACCAGTGAGTCTTTCCAGCTTGTCTCCTGAGTCATAGAGGGACAAGCCATTTCTTTCATCCCAGTCAGGGCTGGAGGGGCTTTGTCTGCCTGTTTATGGGCTTTTACAGCTGTTTTGAGTTGAAAAAGAAAATACAGGATCAGAATAAAAAGAAAACCTAGGCAGTTTGGATCTAGGACATCTGAATTTCTTTCTGAACCCCCCCCACCCACCCAGGGGTCATCTGGTGGTTCCTCAAAGTAGGGGACACTATCTAGAGCCTTGATATGAAGTGTGATCTGAAGACCAGCAACATCACCTGAGCACTTGCTAGAAATGCAGAATATCTCAGGCCCTGGCCCCCTGAATCACATTCTGCTACCAAGATCCCTAGGTAATTCCCATGCATATCAGAGTCTGAGAAGCACTAGCCTCACAAGTCCTTTAGTAAAATCAAGTTGGCCTCAGCCTGCACTGAGAGCCTTGGGCATGACCCAGCTGGTTGTTGCTAAGAGCTTTCCCCTGGTTTGGTTTTTCTCTGGTTAGAAGTTAGGTGATACCATTAGGATAAAGCACCAGCCAGCCCCTTCTGCTCATAGTGGACATAAACCTACATGAGCCCAGAGAGTCAACGGAGACAGGAACCAGCATCACCAGGCTCCTAAGAGGTTAGATTAACAGAGGAAATAAGCAGAAGGTTCTGAACTGTCTGAAAAGATAGCAAGAGAATTCTACCAAGGATATGATGACTTGTGCAAAACCAAAGAGAAGATCTTTTGTTCAAATATTATAAAGAAACTGCCTGTTGCCATGAGGGGTACAAAGATGAATAAGCCAAGCTCCTATAGCAGTTGTATTCTTATCTAACCCATGGCTGACCAAGCTCAGAGTTAGCTCCGGCATCTTCAATAGAGGTCAGGGTGGGAAGAGAGGAAAGGGACTGTAAAGAAACGAAATGGGGGGTGGGGAATGAAAGGTGACATCATTTGAGTTGTCTTTCAAAACATGTTCTGAAATTTCCCAGTCATGATCCTAGGCCTTTTACGTGGTTCTAACCTTGCCTTCCGTTTCTGGGATCCAATCTCCACTCTGACAAAAGCTACAAATATCCTGGAGCCTGGATCACATCACAACATCAAAACTGACCTCCCTGAGGTCATCAAGGTTGCTTCCTTGTTGCCATATCTGGTGGGCACCTTCCTGTGTGCCGACCTCTCAGCGGCCTTTATACTACTGCTTGCCTTTCTCTGTAAATCTCCATCCCCTGGCTTTGATGCTACTTCATCCTCTTGGTTTAATCCTGCTCGTCTGGCTGCTCCTTCCCAGCCTCCTCTGGGTGACATTCAGGGTTCTCTCTTGGGCCTTCTGCTTCTCATGTGACACATTCTCACTGAGCAACAGCAAGCACCAACCTGCTAGCCAGCATGCAAGGGAGCCTCCCTGGAAGAAGATTTTCTAGCCCTGCTCAAGCCTTCAGATGACTGCAGCCCAGCAGACTTCGGACTACAACCTCATGAGAACCCCCGACAGAACTACCCAACAGTCACTTCCAAATTTCTGACTCATAGAAACCCTGAGAGAGAATAATAATTTTTATTGTTTTAAGCCACTTAGTTCTGGGATACTTTTTACATAGAAATTTGTTTACTCAACTCATTAATGAAAGGACTAGCAGAGTAAAAAAGTTCATTCAAAAAAAGAATACAAGGAAAAAAAGGACACAAGAAACTAATATGTATAATCAGTAGAAAATAAAAGGTCAGAATAAGATGCAAAATTAGACATAGAAATAGTTAAAGCCCTAGAATATGACACCAAAGATACAGGTAACAAGAGAAAAAATAGACAAATTGAAAGTTTTAAAATTTTGTGCCTCAAAAGAAACTATCCCCAGGGATGCCTGGCTGGCTCAGTTGGAGGAGCGTGTGACTCCTGATCTTGGGGTCATGAGTTTGAGCCCCACACTGGGTGTAGAGATTACTTAAATAAACTTTTTAAAAAAAGACACTATCCCCAGTGTAAAAAGGCAACCCACAGGATGCGGAAATATTTGCAAATCACATATCTGATAACGGATTAATATCCAGAATATACAGAGAGCTTCTAAAATTCAACAACAAAAAACCAATGAACTCAATTCAAGATTGGGCAAAGGACTTAGACATTTCTCCAAAGAAGATATATGAATAGCCAATAAGCACATAAATCACCATCACTAAGCCTTAGGGAACTGCAAATTAAAACTGGAATGAGGGTGCCTGGGTGGCTCAGTTGGTTAAGCGTCTGCCTTCGGCTCAGTTCATGATTCCAGAGTCCTGGGATGGAGCCCTACATCGGGCTCCCTGCTCATAGCAGGGAGTCTGCTTCGCCCTCTGCCCACCCCTCTCATGCGTGTGTACTCTCTTTCTCAAATATAAATAACATCTTTAAAAAGAGAGAGAGATAAAACTGCAATGAGATAATACCTTGCACCCTTTAGGATTGCTACTATCAAAAAATTGGAAAATAACAAGTGTTGGCAAGGATATGGAGAAATTGGAATCCTTGTGCACTATGGGTGGGAATATAAAATGGTATAGCCACTGTGAAAAACAGTACAGAGGTTCCTCAAAAACTTAAAAACAGAATTACCATATGACCCAGCAATTACACTTCTTCGTAAATACCCTAAAGAATTGAAAACAAGGTTTCAAACAGATATTTGTCCACCCATCTTCATTTCATTATTCACAATAGCTAAAATGTGGAAGCAACTCAGGTGTCCATTAATGGGTGAATAGATAAGCAAATATGGTATATATATCAATGGAATATCATTCAGCTTTAAAAGGGAAAGTCTGACACAGGCTACAACATGGATGAAACTTGAGGACGTTATGGTAAGTGAAATAAGCCAGCCACAAAAAAGACAAAATATGATTCCACTTATGTGAGGTAGTTAGAGTAGTCAAAATCATAGAGACAGAAAGTATAATGGTGGGGCTGGGGGCAAGGGGATTGGGGCGTTATTGCTTAATCAGTGTAGAGTTTCAGTTTTACAAGATGAAGAGCTAGGGGGATGGATGGTGGAGAGGGTTGTACAACAACGTGAATGTATTTATTACTACTGAACTGTACACTTAAAAATGGTTAAGATGGTAAGTTTGACGTGTATTTTACTGCAATAAAAAAAGAAAAAAGAAAACAAAAGGTTAATGCCCTACCGGGCAATAAAACCATGACTTTTGGGGTTATCTTCCCTAAAAGGACAGAAATTTTAACTAAATAGGCCTCTGCAAGGGAGAAAGCAGCCCAGAGTCTAGGTCCCAATTGACAGCAAATATTGAGTTAAATATAGTTACTCTCCCCTGGAGTGTTGGGTGACCCTAGGCAGACTTGCATTATACCATTTTGTCATGAGACTTTAAACACCTAAGTCTTCTTTTGCCTCAGTGATAACGATTTCAGAAACAGTCCTGTGTTAGATGAAGTCATCGTTTTGTGAAACACTAGCAGTAATTCATAGAATTGATTTGTTTACTCAGTGATTCAACAAATACTTACTAAGTACCTACTATGTGGCCAGCCCTGTTCTAGCTGTTGAGACTACAGCAGGAAAAAAAAAACAAAAAACAAAGATAAAGCTCCCACCCCGGGGGAACTTGCAGTCTACTGTGAATCCATGGTCAGTATATAAAATGATAGATGTTGTCATAAAGCCATGATTAGGTATCATCAGAAACCAGCCCATGAGCTCCCAGATCAAGGCCTCCCACCCACTGTCCTGAGATGTGCATGAAGCGTGACACTGGCTTGTGGGACACCTTTTTGAGATGAGTTCATTCTTTATTGTGTGCAATATAACCACCCTAATCCTACAGAAGGCAGGCAACAAACAACAAATTATAGGAAGAACTCAGCTTTTCCTCTTCTTAAAGAAAAATATAATTATCAAAAGGAAAATTAGAATGGCCCTGGATATTAGAAATGGTTTGGGGCACCTGGGTGGCTCAGTCGGTTAAATGTCCAACTTGTGGTTTTGGCTCAGGTCACGATCTCAGGGTCATGAGATTGAAGCCCATGTTGGGCTCTAAGCTCAGAGGGAAGTCTGCTTGAGAGTCTCTCCTTCTGCCCCCCCCAACCAAATAAAAATCTTAAAAAAAAAGAAAAGGTTAAAAATTGGAAATAGGAACAGACAGGAAATCTCAGCAAAATATAACAGTTTTAGTCAATGAATTCCTTCTCCTTTAATCTTAATGCTACTATTGTTACCCAGTATTCACCTGCTGTAGCAGGGGAATGGCTATGGATTTCAACTCCCCAGATCAAACGAGGCTGTCCGTGCTTGACTTTTGTCACAGACTTGCGTTACCCGTTGCTATTCAAGAGAGTAACACAAGCGTGTAGTGCCCATAAATGTCAACAATGTCAGTGCAAGCAAGGACTCAACCAGGACGCTCCTCTGAAGCCAATCTGTCAGAATCTTTCATCCTTAAATTGTGTAAGATAACCTAGTGTAGCGGACCCTGTGGTGTCCACACAGAGCCCCTCATCAGACTCAATGCACCTATCCTCCAGCTGAGGACTCACAGCTGCAGTCCCCACGGGGCATTGCCCTCAGACATAAGAGGCTGCCTCTCTGGAGGCTAGACCTTCCCAGGACAATGACTGGATGATGCAGGGACACAAAGACAAACCGTGATTCAGCCTCAAGTGTAGATATCCCAGGAAAGAGGAGGAGAAGGTGGGAAATGGGCACACAGACGGCCTCAGTGGAGTCTGCAATACTTAATTCCTTAAAAACAAAAGGATCTGAAGCAAATATGGTATAATGTTAAGATCTGACAAAGCCTTACAGGGTATGTTTACTAAGTTGAATTTTTTTTTTTTTTAAGATTTTTTATTTATTTGAGAGAGAGTGAGGAAGAGAGAGAGAGCACAAGCGGGGTGAGGGGCAGAGGGAGAAGCAGGCTCTCTGCTGAGCAGGGAGCCCGATGCAGGGCTCAATCCCAGGACCCTGGGATCATGACCCAAGCCAAAGGCAGACGCTTAACTGACCGAGCCACCCAGGCACCCCTAAGTTGAATTTAAATAAAAAATTTGTCAAAAGATTTGATAAAACCAGATATTAATATGTAAATATTCTTTATATTATTTGCTATTCTTGCCTATTTGAAATACATAATTTTTTTTAATAATGAATATGGGACTAAATGAGCATGCACCCTTGTGCTTACTTAATTCCTTGTCCTGCCTCTTGGCAGGGGACAGATCAGGGGAATTGTGTTTACTGAGCAACCCTACATGCCAGGCACCATGCTCAGTACTTTCCATACTTTGAAACAGGAATTAACTGACATATTAGGCAGGACTTTATTCTTTTCTAAGGATCTCTCTGAAGGCTTCACATTAGTACCAGATTCCATTCAGTAAGACATGTCATTCGATTTCATTCTAGCATCAAACTTGTAGCTTTCTTGCTACAACTTAAACCTATTTCCTCAATGTTCAAAGCAAGCCAAAGCCTTTTCTGAATGCTCATTGAGAATGTAAATTTGAAGTACTCCTTCCCAAGCTTACCTGAGCTCCCTAAGATGCACATGACCTGCCCGCTCTCGATGCACAAGGAGACATCTTTAAGGATCTGCCTGTCCCACTGCTGCCGGCAAGATGTGAAGTCCCACCAGGGCCCAGCTTGGTGGCTTTAAAGGAAAGGGAGTGCGGTGTTCCAGAAGGGACCAGACCCTTGTCCCCCAGCACTGATCCCAGTTGTCTCTGGACAGGTTCCTAAATATGCTTGAGGCTCAGTGTCCTTCTCTGTAGACACTGGCAGGTAGTGACCGAGAAAGATCATCTCTGTAAAGCCCCTGCCCAGGAGCTGCTCTGAATGCCAGCTCTCTTTGGTTGTGTGGGAGATAAACAGGACACTGTTTATTCCTTCAGTTGATCCTGCATTCCTTCACCAGGCTTCATTACACTTCGTGCTGCCCCAAGCCCTCTCCATCCCCATGGTGCAGGCTGTACGCAAGGCGGACACAACAGGAAGGGATTAAGGGGCACAAAGCAGAGCACAGCTACCTATCATAGCTTCCAAGTCTTCCCATGGGCAAAAGGGGGGCCATTCGCCACTGCTCCTCATCTACCACTGGCAGCCCTTCCCCTCTCCTCTCTCTACCTTGATCCACTAAGGAGGGAGCCCAAAGCCTCCACATATGGCCCTCATTAGCGAGGAAAGCCAGCAGAGACCCACTCACCTCGGATCATGACCACAACTCAAACAAAGCCCAGCTCCAAGTTCCCAGTAGGCAAAAGAGGCATGGCCTTACCTGATACTGTAGGAGACATGGAGAATGCCCAGGCTGTGTCGAGGCTTTGAAGCAGCTGCAGGAACCTCCTCTGGGGAGCTCTGGGGACCTCTGTTTACTTGGATCCCCAAGGACGCCACAGGGGTCAAAGATGGGAATTCACTCATGGCCAAGAGACAGCAGACACAGGTGAATTTTGGGGTGCTGGACTCTCCCTGGAGGGGTCTCAGGAGAGGAGCCAGCAGCACACTCCCCCGCGGGCTTCTCCCCAGGCCCTGCAGTCCCTCCGCAGACCTTCCCAGCAGCGGGACTGGGGTTTGGCCACGGATGCCATTATCTGATGTACCTGTACCCAGAGCGTGTGTGCTAACTTGGCAGTGGGCAGAACACACAGCCTGTGGTTTATAGGAGGGCTTGCCTGGGAGGAGTGCCAGGAGAGAGGCGCAGTGAACCAGGGTCAGAGATTGCCCAGCTCTGAGAAAGACAAAACACTGGTGCTGTCTGGTAGCAGCTAAGGGGAAAGGAAGCTGCAGCAAAGCGGCACAGACACTGCTGGGCCCCATGGCTGAGGCGGCCTCAGAGGAGAGAGGACTGTGGAACGGGGCTGCTCCCCAGGATGCCTCTGTGAGTGATGGGCAGTCACCTCAGTCATAGGGGGTAGGAGTGAATGGGACCTTTCTTTCCTCCCTCAGGACCTTTCTGTTTTAACTCATGGCCAGGACCACAGAGGGAGAATATGGCAGCAGGACTCTCTTCCCTGGACATCAAAGGGTTGAGGGGAAGGGATTCAGGGAACAGGGGTGGGTAGGGGGCCTGTGAGGTCGCTTCTGCACGAAGGCACACTCCTACAGGGAAATGACATTCCTGTTTGTGACTTAGGCTGATGTAGCTTTTTCTGAAGGAGCCTGCAAAGCAGAAATATGTTCACATACACTGGGGACTCTGCAGTGCCTCCTTCATCTGTGTGTCTGTCAAGCTCAGAGTCTCAGACGCAGTAAACCGATGAGATAGGATGGCAGGCAACTTTTATAGGAACATCAGAATTTATGTGCAAAACATGGCTACAGCAGGCAGACATAAGACCCTAGAGAGAGCTGGAAGGTACAGACAGCAGCCAGGGGGTCGAGAGGTTGGGGCAGAAGGTCTCCACCCTTATCTTACATGAGAAATGTTTACTTGAGAAGTGGCCTTTGGCTAAAATCAGGGTGTGGGTGGGATTTGAAGCAGGAGGCTAAATTGGAAGACAGAAAGGAAGCAGAGCCCACCCTCTATCCCCACCTCACCCCAGCACACCTTGCTGTCTTTGCCTGCCGTGGAGAGGAGGGAGAGAAAAGACAAGAAGGTCTGAGGACTCCACACCCAAAAGAGAAGGCCACAGGCCACCTAGTCTGGCCCTGAGTTGCTAGGATAGGACTACAGCTCAGCCCATTCCTAGTCCACTCTGTAGCCATGACAAATAGCCACTTCTGATGTGGGAATACAGCCAGTCCTTGCCAAGAAATGACTCCTAGGAGCTGTGACTGCAGTGCTCATAGCCTGAATAAGATATAAAGTTAGCAGTGGCTATGGGGACACTTTCTGCCGAAAAGGTCTGACAATTCAGCCACCACAGCATGGGATACAAATAACTGCCCAAATCCAACATCCAGGAATGCCTACCATTTCCAATTTCCATTTCTCCAATTCTTTACTCAAGGTTCCAAGTGACAATCTTCCCCCAACATTTAAGGCATCTGGAACAAGAGAATGAGGGCTACAGATCTTATGTCTAGATGTTTTAAAATTATCAATCAAGCTAAGAACTTGAAAATAGTTTTTATCTTCTTGATATACCTTCTGCACAACCTGAAAGGCCAGGTGTAAATTTAGAAATTCTAGGATCTTTTGGAGCAGCAGCTAGAATGTGGTGCCACAGGGGAGCCAGCTTCCAGCCCAAGCTACAGCCTATCCCCCTTCTCTGCCCAACCCTAGCCCCACACATGACTCACACACCCCTATGTGGTCATGCCATCCTGCCTACCCACATTCCATTCACACTCCACAGACAAATGCCCCTCTGGCCTGGGGCGCCTGGAGTGGCAAGTGCCCTTGGCCCACAGACTCCTCAGTCCATGGGCAGAAGCATAGCCAGAGGAGGACAAGGGGGGTCCAGTCCTCAGGGCAAAGATGTGTGAGATCTGGCCTGACCATTTTAGTAAAGGCCCAGGCTCATCCTCTCAGCCAGGAACAAACCCTGCATGTTTCTGCCAGGCACTGAGTCCTCAGTGTGTCGCAACTCAAGGGCAAGGATTCCCCATTTTAGAATAAGGAACTTGGGCTCCATGCTCCCTGAGTTCCCTTCTAATCTATGCTTCTGACTCAGGAATTTGATCAGAAGTTAATACAAGGAGAAATTACAATGTAGCCCAGCAGGAGCCAAGCAGGTTACCTACAAATAAACCTGCTTTTGCTTTTTTCGGTGTCACCTGTCAGAAATTCAAGTGATGTTCTGACAGTCGTACTGATTAAGATGTCAGCTGAATAGATATTTAAGTATTTGAAAAATACAGAGAATTTGTCAAAACCTCAGGAAGAGTCTAACAAATCCTTCCTGGGAGCCAAGGAAATATTTCAAAATGGAACAGAGGCCATCCCCAACCCAGCAATGAATTCTCTTCCTCTGAAAGTCGCCCTGCCTGTGCAGCTCCAGAAAGGTAGTCCCTAGATGGCAAATGAGGTCCCTGGCTTGCCTGTGCCTGACTACTTAGCCTGGGGGAGGGGTACTGCCCAACCCCCCAGGAACAGGGAGCACCTCTCTCCTTTTATCTGTCTCCCCATTCTGACACCTCTTTCCCCACAGCCCCAGCACCCTCCACCTTTTCAAAGCACTTATCTGGAAAGTGGAATCCACTTGGGCATGAGGTCACCTGCACATAATACTCCAGACCCCAAAATGTCTGACCTCCTTTCCTGAAATCTAACCTGGGTAGCTTTTGGCCAGGTCTTTGTTCACAGAAACAATTTCTGAGCTAACTCATATCTTATACCAATCGACTTAATATCCACCCTACAGACATTTACTTTTTTATAAACAAACAGGATGCATGTTAGCCCAAATGAGTCTCTCAATAATTGCTACAATTCCTGATAGTTTAACGGAATTAAATGGAAAAACTAGGCAGTGTGAGTGCTGGTGGTGGAAGTGGTGAGTAAGGTCAGGTGCAGAACTGATGTGCCTGGAATATAGCACCTTTCTTAGCTGCCCTGGATCTCCCCCAGGAGAGAGCTCCTTCTCCACCTCTGAGGGCACATGCCCTGGGCCCTGCTCCATCTCCATGGCCGGCTCCTGCCTTGGAGGCATTGGCAACTGAGGCGCAAGGTGGGAGAAGTATTCTGGAGTTGTACTCGTGGGCTCCCTCTCTCACTTGGAAAACATATTTTGAATTATTTCAGACAGATTAGTTTATAGAGTAGCGAACTCTCATGTACACACCACTAATTACCAAGAGCTCTGAAGCTCGCTCCCCTTGCCTTCCCCTGTAACCTTCTCTCTTGTATTCCTCTGTTCCCCAGAGATTGCCCTGCTGCTAAATGAGGTGTTCATCTTTCCCAGGTTTTTCTGTATAATTTAGGATCTTTATGGTAACAGTTCTAACATCAGACAAGGTAAGTAGCTATGGTCTGCTGTCTCCATACTGCCCTGGAACTCTGGGGACTACTCACAGCTGCTGCTGCAGACTGTCACCTGTATTGACTTCCCTCCTCTCCCATGGGGCTGGAACATCCTGTCTGAGGACCTCGGACCTCCACCACTACAGGAAGTTTGACAGAGACTTTTGGATGTTATTTTCACATAAGTCATAAGTCATTTTATTTTCACACAAAGCACAGGTAGGCACAGTGTACACAGTGTAAATATACCCTGAATGGATGCTTGAGGTCAGCCTGCCTCTACACCTGGCCTGTCACACTCCATCCTAACCACCTATGCCATTCATTAAGACCTACACTTCTTTGCATGGTGACAGATGGTAACTAGATGTATTGTAGTGACCACTTTGCAGTGTACACAAATATTGAATTGTTGTGTTGTATACCTGAACTAATATGATGTTATATACCAATTTTACCTCAATAAAAAAATCTAAGCTGCTCAGAAACCACCTTTGTCACATCCCAAACTCCAAGCCCGAAGAGTGACGTGGGCTCCAAGTACTGGATGCTTGCTTGCTTGACTGAAGGAACACATCAGTGTGAGAAGAGCAGCTCTGGGGGAAAAGATCAGAATCAACTGGAACTTATTAATAAATACACTTTTTCGTGCACTAAGAAATAAAAGAAAAATGTATTTAAAAATGGAAATCTTACTAGGCAGGTTCTTTTTTTGGGCCTCAATGATTTAAAGGATTGAACTGATAAAACAGAAGGAATTCGGATCTGCTGATGGCTAATACCAAAGGTATCAGTTGATACCATGAAACACTGATTTATTTGATGTACAAATATAGCATCACTCCAACAACAACAAGATGATGACAATGAGGACTATGACAATGAGAGGGACTTCCTCTGAAATCTCCCAACAGCATTTTGAATGGCTTTGTTGTGCAAAACTCATTAGAATAAGATGCAACTTTTCCAAGGATGGTGTCTTCCAAATATTGAGCATTAGCTTTTTGATAGTTATTTCCTCTCACATGCCAGGTACACGGAATCTCTTTGGCATTAGAAGATAGTAAGCCAGAGACAGGGAAGAGAAAAGTTAAGGCCACCCCCAGCTCAGGTGTCCCCAGAGCACAGAAGCTCACAAGCTCTCTCCAGTCCGGAGTCTGGGTCTTGTCCACCATAGGCTGCCTGGGTCCAGGCTCCACCAATCTGAGATTGAGTTTTCTGGAGTCAGGAGCTGTGCTGGAGGGAAGCCCCAAAGCTCGCTCTGCAGGGAAGGAAAGATTTGCCCTCACGAATACTCATATTTTCTCAGAGCCCTTGGGCTCCACCTACCCAAACCCATGTCTTTCCAATTCTGGATCTCAACCACACTAGCTGCTGCTCTCACCTCTTGGGTCTCCTCCCTGTTTTCTCTTAAGTGCTCAGCAGCTTTTGAAGGAGCCCCTCACCTGTCATGTTTGCCAGCAGGGCCTCCAGGACAGCTTGTTCTCCTCCAAAAGTGACAACAGCCCGTACTTCACCTACAGCGGCCAGTCCAACACCTTGGAAGTCCGAGATCTCAGCTACCAGGTAGAAGCACACCTGAGGACAAGGTGGGAGGAGTGGGCAGGGAAGGCCAAATGATTCCCCAAGTGGAAGGTAAGGGTGAGCC